GAGTGGGCTTTCCATTCATCCTATTAAGTTGTTAAACTTTGCAAGCTGGTAGGTGATATGACTGATCAGGCACCAAATGCAAGAGCAGTGGCCTTCCCTATGAACCCTGGGAAGCTTAGGTATGAACTGTTCACCACTCAAGATGTAGGTACTTCTGAGTAAGTCCAGAAGGAAACCCTTTGGTGATTAGGGTATTTTACTGGTAGAAACTTAGTTATCTAAGGATTTCAGAATCTACCAGGATTAGGCAGAGGATTTTGAGGATCTGAATTTTGGGTTTAAGTGTTTTTAATCAGAGATGTCCTGTAGATTATTTTCTGATTTACAGTCTCAGACCCAATGCTTGGGAGGCAGATATTTTTTTTACAGATGTGGCCTAGCCTACCTCCCCTAAAGGACTGACTCTCCCAATGTTAATAGTGCATCATTGGTAGTGGTTATTTCTTCATGTCAGGTTGTTTCATTTTACTGTTGTTGTGGTTTTCAATCAGTCTGTAAACAGCAGGGCTGGGGTTTGTTTTTGTCCTGTGTAATTGTAATGAGCCTTGTACATATTCTCTTTTTGAATATTTTTTTTTTATGATTACCTTATTTTGTTATACTGTGATTCATTTTTCCACTATTTGCAGTCCAGGAAGAATATTAATGATGATTGACTGTGGCTTCCCATTGTATGGAATAAAGCTTTCGTTCTAAAAAGTACACAGAAGGCATGATGGTTTATTTTGACATCATCCTGCATTTCTAAAATTCACTTGATATGCTATATCAATCTTGTGAAGTACTCAACTGTCATGTGCTTTACCTTTACTTCTGGCATGTGGCGACTCCACAGAGTTGTTACAACCTATGTACAGTTGGGAATGAGCAGACAAATTATTTTATTCCAACAAGCTAACCAGAGGCAAGGATAATGTACGTTGGGAACAGTTTCAAAGTGGGCGAGGAAGCTGCTGCTTGGAAGTGTGCTGTAGCTGATATATGTGCATGAGCCTTTAGTGATACAAGTGATCTGTCATCCAATTTTAACAATGGATGAAGCAGCATTTTGTGGGATTCCACCACCTAAATATTACAGTGTAACAGGTGCTGCAGGTTCAGAGCAGCAATTCCCCCTCCCCTTTTAAAACTGGTCCAAGAGTACACTCGTCTATAAAAAGATTATATTAGTGAAATGAGAAACACTTGGTATGTCAGGTTTAGTCCTTAGTTACAGTGCACTCTCTTTTTTTGCTGTCATAGGGAAAAATGCAACCCTGAGTCATTCTGCCTTTCAGTCTGCTTCAGAGACTCAGTAGGGGTTATGCCATAGTGTAGTCCTTAGACTGATTTCTTTGGTTGTTCCATTTGAACATTACCTATTGAAGCAACTCATTAATGAAAATGCTATTGCATGTCTCCTCCTCACAGTTTTCTTGACAACAGTTTTCTTAGGTGCTATTAAATGTGCACTGCCATGGAAGGAACTTTATTAGAAGTACAAGAATAAAGTCAACCCTTCTCACTTTGCTTATTTGGCTATTCATAGTAACCTCAGGCTAAGTGCAGACATTCAAAAAAGCCCTGATGGAAGCACTCTCACTTTACTTATAGCACTTTAAGTTAAAGCAGGAATGAACTGAGCAGACGTATTTGTTTGGTGTGGGAGTGGTGGGGGGGGGGGGGGGGGCTTGGGGCCTGCCTACCCTGGCTAAGGCCAGAAGGGGGGGG